TCCTTTTTTGGTATTTTCATGCAAATTCTTCTGCTAGTTGGGGTTTAATCTACTTCTGAATCCTTCTCTTCAAGGCTCAGGGGTCCAAGATTAACTTCTGTGTCTGTGTCAATTGGTTTCCCTTTTCTTTGTTGAAGAGGGTCTGTGCAGTCCTTCTATCTAGTCTGCCATCTTCCCAGCTCCTCCACAGGGTTTTCAATGGTTGATTTTTCGAAGTGGTTTGCCAGGTCTTTCTTCCAAGGCACTTCTGCATGGACTCAACCCTCTACCCTTTTGGTTAGCAGCTGAGCATATTAACCATTGTACCACCCAAGAACTAGCAGCCATAAGGACTGAGTTTCTAAATCCTCCCCCTTTTTGCTCAACCATTGTGTCAGCTTGTGCTGAACCATTATATCAGCTGTGCTTAACCTATGTAGCTTGTATTAATCAATGTATGTTCCAGGAACTGGGAAGATATGAGGCTAAGGAAAACACAAGAGCTAGTTTTAGCCAGTTGTGGCCTCCATGCATGCACAGTAAAGAGGAACTATGTCCCTTGGATGACCCGCCTGGAACATAGGTGCTCCCTGTGAGAAGACTGGAAGGAACCAAAGTGCAGCGATATAAAGTTCAGGGAAGATCATCAGAAGTGAAAGGGGGTCCAAAGGACTGTTCGTTTCCAAAAGAAGTCTCCACCCTGCTTTGAATATGTATTAGATTTCCCAGAAAATTATTGAATGTGCAGAACTTGCTTATTTTTTGAGCCCTGTAAACGGTTATTCAAGCTTTGGCACAGGGAGGCCGATTGGGGTGAGTTCCCCTGGCTCCTTGGTAAGCTTCACCTCAGTAAGTCCTTCACCCAAATTCTGGTGCTGAGTGGTTTGGCTTATTCGCTCAGCAAACAGGACCACATAGTGCGATAACAAACTCTTAGAATATCAGAGCATTACTAATGTTTTCCAGCCTGCTTGGGACAATGGACTCAGAGACTTACTGGTTTGTGGATTGTATATGAGCTCCACAGGGGCATCCTGATAGCTTTTCCAAATCCACTCACGTATTCTCTGTGGTAAAGGAGACAGTGTTCCTTGTTCTTCTGCATAACCCGGGGCCTCCCATATGGCATATTTTCTTTCTCTGTTGCTGTTACTAAAACAAAAATAACAAAAACAATGTTTATGAAATCAGCAAATGCTTTTATGCTTATAATAACTATCACTACCTATTGGTTTATTTGTGCCAAGTACTCTGTCATGGATGGATTGTGTCCCCAAAAAATATGTGTCAACTTAGCTGGGCCACGAATCTCAGTGCTCTGGGAGTTATGTAATGTGGCAGGAATGTAATGATTCCTCATGATGTGATCAGCCAATCAGTTGTAAGAGAACCAAGGTAGGCTACACCACCTTTAATCTCATCACAGGCCTGATTAGACGTAAGGAGAGTTTCCCCTGGAATGTGGCTTGCAACATCTTTTACCTTACAAGAGATAAAAGGGGAGACAAGTTAGCAGAAAGGGAAGGACCTACTACCACCAAGACAGAAGAGCGAGGAGCTAAGTGCATCCTTTGGATCCAGGGTCTCTGTGCTGGAATCCTCCTAGGACTAAGAGACACAGAGACTTATCCTAGAGCTAGTGCTCTGAGCTCAGACTTCTAGCCTCCTAAACTGTGAGAGAATAAATTTCTGTTTGTTAAAGCAAATGTATGGGTTACTTGTGTAACTGGGAGTATGATTTGAAAGGCAAAGAAACTAAACAAGATGGGGAGTTGGTGAGAGCATTCATGTGAGGTTATTTTCTAAATATCCTTATAATACGAGGGCTGAAAACATTTTCTATAATAGGCAAGGTAGTAAATATCTTCAGCTTTGTGGGCCGCATAGACTCTGTGGCTACATAGAGCTACACAGCTCTCCCATTGTGGTGCAAAAGAAGCCATAGACAATAAGTAAACAAATGAGCATGGTAGTGTTCCAGTAATACTGTATTTAGAGATACTGAAATTTGAAACTCATATAATTTTCACAATTCATGGAATAGTCTTACTTTGCTTTTTTAACCAGTGTAAAAGGCAAAAACCCTTTTTAGCTCATGGGCTATACGAAAACAGGCAGCAGGCTAGATTTCCCATGAGGACCACAGTTTGCAAACCCTGTGTTAGTACTTTATTGCTTCAAGTAAGACCCAACGTCCAGCAGCATTGGCAGCACATGGTAGCTTGTGGAAATGCACAATCTGAGACCTCATGCCAGACTCACAGAAACAGAATATGCTTTTTCAAGATTCCCAAATGATGTACACGCATGTTAACATCTGAGCAGTACTTGCCTAAGATGAAGCCCTGGTGGCACAGTGGTTGAATGCTAAGCTGCTAACTGAAAGGTCGACAATCCAACCCCATCAACTGCTCTATGGGAGAAAGATGTGGAGGTCTGCTTCCATAAAGATTTACAGCCTTGGAAACCCTATGGGGCAGTTCTATTCTGTCCTGTAGGTCACTATGAATCAGAATTCAACTTAAAAGCAATGGATTTGGTTTAGATGGACTTGTCTGGGATGCAGTAATTATCTTGGAATATTTTTTTCTGTATAATATTGTTTCTAGTATACTACCACATTCAATGTGTTGTTAATAAATGTTTGCAATTATTAAGCAGGAGGTGATCTGATGTGCATTTGTGCTTCAGCTTATCTTGACCTTGATTCATATAATCCTTTTCAAATTTACCCACCAGATTTACAAAGACCCTATGCATACATTACTCTACTTGATCCTCTCAAAAACTCTATGCCTTGGCTGCAAGAATTACCTTCAGTTTACCAATAAGATATCAGAGACTCAAAAAGACTAAGTGGCTTGCCCAAGTCTATCAGGAGAGCAGAGACTGGGGTAGACTGGGGCATGTTTATGAATTTGAAAGCAGTCTGTTTTCACATCTACCACGCGATATTTCTAAAAACTATTTATAGCATTTACACACATTTTTCTAATAAGAATCACAGAAGCTTTGTGGATTCTTAATTCAAAATACTGTTTTTTAAAGGAGAAAATTATGTTTAGGTAGAGTGGCTTGCCTAAGTGTAGAGAACTGGTGAAAATTATTAGTTTTCTTTTAATGGTCATGTTGTTATCTTTATCAATAATTTGCTGTCATTCAGTTTGTTTTTTGTTTATTAATTGCTCTAAAGTGTTCATATAGTATTGGTTTATAAACACAAGTTAACTTTCATTGAAACACATTATGCTATAAAAAAGAAACCAAATTCACTGCCATCGAGTCGATTCCACCTCATAGAGACCCCATTGGGTTTCCAAGGCGGTAAATCTTTGTGAAAGCAGATTGCCCCAGTTTAGCTTTTTCCTGTGCCTCTGAAGAGCAGCAGGTTTGTGGCAAGTATGCTCCTTAGCAGCCACTTACTGCTCAGCAAAACCTGTGGTAACCAAATGGAGATGAATGGAGTATCTTTTTTAGCTGGCATTGTATAAACTTAGGAGTGATCAAAACAGCTACAAGATGAAAAAAAAAAAAAATCTGAACATAACATTATTACCAAAAGAATATAAAGCTTCACAAAGTCAGAAATTTTATCTAGTTTGTTTACTATGGTATCCTCAGAACATGGAATAGTGCTGGCACATAGTAGGCAGTCAATAAATATTTTTTTAATAAATAAATGAATTGCAAAGGCATCTGGTGGTATAGTGCCTAAGGCATTTGACTGCTAATCAGAAGGCTGGAGGTTCAAACCCACCAGCCACTTCTCAGAAGGAAGATTGGGCAATTTACTTCCGTAGAGATACTGCCTTGGAAACCCAAGGAGGGGTTGCTATGAGTTGAATCGACTAGACCACAGTGAGTTTGGGTTTTTTTATTTTTTTTAAAGGCATCTTCTAAAGCCTTGAGAGTATAATTGTTATAGGTATCTACATAGATAGACAGACACACAGACATGTATAGATACACAGGTAACTCAAATGATCTAGTATGGTTCTACAGTTTCAAATAAAATAATTGTACACAACCAGGATATAAACTCAGTTTCCTCACCTATAAGATGGGGATAATAACAACTATTTACTTGGTTTTTTGAGAATTAAATTAAACATGTTAGATTATGCATATAAAAGCCTTCTGTAAAGTCCTATTATACTGCTGGCTATTTTCATTAAACCAGGAAAAATTTAGCAGCTCTGAAGAAATAACCTTTTCCAGTTGGGTTGGACTAGTGTTTCTCAACCCTAGCCTAACGTTGTAGTATCCTAGGGAGCTTATATTAACGTGCAAGGACCACACCCCAGAACAATGAAATCAAATGCTCTCAAGGTAGAATTAAGGCACAGGAATTTTTATTTTATTATTATTTTTTTGTTCTTTGTTTATTTGTTTTTTAAATTAACTCTACTGGTGATTCTAATGTGCAACCAAAATAAAAACCTGAGTTAGAAGGACTTTAATTGAACTCCATCTTCCTCCTCCTCCACCAAAGATTCTGATAGACCCTTTAGGGAAGTATGGTAGCCCTTTTGTGAAATGCTAATGTGAACGGTCATTGTGTGCTAATGGCAGAATGCCTTATCTTTTTAGTATGGGTATAAAAAAGAAAATGAAAAACCAGTTGCCAGAGTGGCTCAAGTAGATAGCAAAGCCTTTCTTGTAAGGTGTCTTTGAGCACCCTCCTTTGAGTAAACTGTAAAGTTTTCACCATCCAGGGACCTCTGGTATGAGTTTTTCGGGAAAGAAATTGAGAGCCAGTGGGATGAGAGGGCTAGTTATGGGAGGTTCCCAAAGAAAGGTTCTTAATAAGAATAGGAATCAGTCAAGAAAATCACTAATTTTCACCACAATAAAGGCCCAAAAACCAAATCCACTGTTGTGGAGTCGATTCCAACTTATAACAACCCAATAAGACAGAATAGAACTGCCCCATAGGGTTTCCAAGGCTGTAAATCTTTACAGAAGCAGACTGCCACATCTTTCTTCTGCAGCGGCTGGTGGGTTTGAATTTTTTGCCAGTCTTTCAGTTTCCAGCAAAGTGCTTTAACTACTGCACTACCAAGGCTTCTCATTTAAAGACAACAGGTAATAATAGTATTACTGTAGGCCAGGAACAGTTCTAAATTCTTTCCATGCATTAACTCTAATCTTTACATCTATCTTGCATGAGTAGTGTTATTACTATAAATGAGGAAACTGAGACACAGAGAGGTTGAGTAATTTTCCAGTTTAGACAGCCAGGAAGTAGTAAAGGTAGGATTCAAACCCAAGCAATTGGCCTGTTCACATCTAAGAAAAGGAATAGGAGACTGCACGTGTGACACAACCATTACAAAGAATTTGTGTTCCTGGGACCTTTATAACTACCTCTTGCCACTATTGTTATTAGATCTTTATTGTTATTATTGTTCCTATATATTGGCAATAAACTCTTTTTATTCAAAAGGCTCTGTGAGCAAGAGGTGCAGACAACAAAGATAAATCCTTTTACAGATATAATACTGCATTGTCAGTGGTAACAAACAATCTATGGGTAAATAAATGGGTTGACAGGCTGAATGATCAAGTATGTCTAGGCAAAAAGGAATATACTATATATAAAGTTGGGAAATGATATTTCTACACATGTATTTGTATGTGCTGTAAGAATGTCCAAATATATAAGAGCTAACAAGGGGCAAGTTATGACAACTTCTTGGCCACAGCTAACCATTGCTGAGGAAGCAAGTAGTTGGACCTGTCGGCTCAGGACCATGGTACCATGGTACATCAAGCTCAATTGGTGTAATGTACTACACAAAAACATGTTCTATCCTGTAAGGCCACAGTAAGGAGAAGAGGATGCACAAAAGTGAGGTTAAAGAGAAGTTTTTATTCTGAGTTTCCAGGTGAGGTTTACAGGTCCCCGAGAGGGGCCCAGGCGAGGTTCATGGGTCCCTGAGAGGGGCCCGAGAAGTCGCACCGCCTGGCTGGGGAGGGTAGGGTTTATAGTCTTGTAGAGGACCTAAGTGGGGACACTAAGGAAATGGTGGGGTCCAATTAGCTGTTAGTATGGGTCTGTATTTATTTAGCATGAGGGGGCTTCACAAGAGGAAGTTTGTCACTGCATGGGACTTTCCAGTCTGGGTGGGTTCTGTCACTTCGGTTGTCTTATTAGGCTGTCTCATCAGGGCCTGACATCTGGAGGAAGTTGCTAACTGAAATGTTGGTGGCTTGGGTTTGCTTCGGCCTAACACATCCTACTTTGGTGAGTAGCAACTGGGGTCTTAAAAGCTTGCAAGCAGCCATCTAGAGGCAACAATGGATCTCTCCTCATCCAGAGCAAAGAAGAATAAAAAAAAACAAAGATGCATGGAAACAATTAGTCTAAGAGTAGTAGACTATGTGAACCTCAGCCTATATGACCATGAGACCAGAGGAACTAGATGGTGTCCACCTACCACTGTCAACCACTTGGAAAGGAATCAGTGCAGGAGATTCTGGATAGAGTGAGAGAATAAAACAAAACTTATAATCATAAAAAAAAAAAAAAAAAAAAAAGACCAAGTTTACTGGTTTGTTAGAACCTGGTGAGACCCCTGAGACTATAGCCCTTAGTTACCGTTCAGGTGTGGAACTGAACTGACTCCCATGGTATGGCTTCCAGTCAAACAATATATATAGAGAGAGAGACAGGTATATAGGGTGAACATTTATATCAAATAGATGTACACTCCTTAGAGTAATCAATTGTGGGAGAACAGAAGGGCAGTGTTGGCACAGGGAGATAGCTCAGGGATGGTGAGGCAGGAATGCGTAGGAAAGAAGGACACAGAGAAGAGGCATCTACAGAGAGGAAGTGGGAAGAGAGCTGTTATTGTGAGGAACTGCAGTCAATGTCATGAAACAAAATGTGTATGAACTGCTGTATGGAAAATGAATTTACTCTGTAAACTTTCACCCAAATCACAATAAATTTTTTTAAAGGGGGCTCTGTGAGCTTATTTTGGGGAATCACAAAAAGGTGGCATTGTCTTTTGTTCTGAAGCAGTTCTGGCATGAAAGTGGATGATGGTCACGCCAAAGGGAAGAAGAGCCAGGAGGAATCTTGAGGCAGGTAAAAACAAAAATGGAGTCACAAGGCTTCTACCGGAGACCTACACATCAAAGACTTCACAAACTTTATATTGACTTACTTTCATTTGATGTGAGATTTAGCCTTTGATTCACACGCTCTACAACACTCACCTGCAAGATAATAGGGAGAGAGGGGAGTAAGTTGAAATAATGACACAGAATTTAAAGGGTGTTTAAGATCATTTCTGTAGTAATCACCCAAAGTATTTTACTACTGAACAAAGAAGCCAGACTAACTTAAGTTTAATGCCAATTCTGCCACTAACTCTGAACCACTATAATTTACTGCATGCTTTTGTATGTGTGTGTGAGGGCATGAGAGGTGGCACTTGCAAAGATATAATTGATAATGGGGCAAAGCATTCTGACCACACCTGGAATCAACTCCTAAATTGGGATGACAACATTCATTCCTTCTCAAACTCTAATGTGTGTACAAGTCACTTGAGGATCTTATAAATGCAGTCTGTAGTTAAGAAAGCCTGAAAGAGAATCTGAGATTGTGTGTCTCCAATGAGCTTACTTTGAGTAGCAGGAAGTAGAAAAATTTACAGAGAAGAATTTGTACTTCAGAGTTTAGATCAACTTCGACATTGGGTAATTTGTCTAAGATCTCTGAGCCCTTTTTATCTATAATATGGGAAATGAAACACCCGTCCTGTAACATTATTTTGAAGATGAGAGAATTTAATTTCTTCGCCCACCCCTGGCTATAAGGAACAATTCTTGCTCTACAATCATATTTTAAAGTTGGCATCAAATCTGCCTTGGTATTTGTCTTAGCTTGATGGATTCCTGATACCTGGGCTCCTATTTCTTTCTGGATTTCCATCCCTATTCATGTGCTCTGATTCTCACAGGTGGGCTTGGTCCTTGTGTTTTGCATCCCTATCTTAGGACCCTCCTAGCACTGGAATCTTGCCTTTTGAGAGTCTTCTGCGTCTGAGTCTGGTGCTTTTCTGCTACAAGGACCTTCCCAAGGCCAACTGTCTGTTGGCCTGCTTCCCAGGGTTCCCTGAGGGGATTCTCCGTTGCTTTGTCTGTGATTCTCCCTGTCAACTGCTTGTCTGGGTTTATCTGGAATGACTTGTGAACGTCAGACTTTCTTGCAGGCATTTCCCATCAGATGAGTCCACAGTGGGTGTGTCTAACACCAGATACCTATTTTATGAGATACACACACCTGCGTACACCTCCATGCTTATTCTGTTCTGAATAACCAACCATGACCATCTGATTCTTTAGCTGTGAGAGAAATGGTCTATGAATGGAATCAAAATACAGCCAAGTTTCTACTGTTTTCTTTAACAATTAATTTATTAATTAATTATACTGTTAATTAACAATTTCTAAATAGCACTTTCCAGCTTAAAAAGCATCTCTCATTTATAGAGAAATCACATGTGCAGTAACTGTCTGAGCCAGGACACAAATCTGTCAGCTCCCCTGGGTATCAACCACCTTGGCTACAGACTAGCTTCCTCTTTACATTCTTAAGAATGCATGAAGTTATTACTTACGTTCTGTAGCTCAAGGCATGAGCATTCTAGAGATTCTGTGGGCAACGGATTAGTAAAGTTGCAAACAGAAGACTTTGACACTTCTTCTGGGTGGGTTGGCTTATAAAAAGGTGTCTTCAGAAGATGGTTTAAACTACCGTGTGTGCCATTGTTTGGTGCTGGTTGAATGTGTAGAAGATCTGTTTTAAAAATAAGTTTAAAGTAGTTTTAAATTGGAAAGCAGCACTCCTCGGGGAGAAAACAAACACCTACCGTTTCACTTTGTTTAATAAATTCTGTTTTAATGCAGCATGTACTGCATATGCCATTCAGCTGACTGACTTGCTTTGCCTCGAGTTTCCGACATCTAGTGTTTCTAGAGAATAGGAGTAGCCACCAAAGATGGGCTGCAGGAACTTTTATGAACTGTTTCTGTTCCACCAATGAAAAGGAACTTCTTTTCAATGATCACTTTGCTCTTTAAACATATCAGTTTTCTAGTATAAAACGCTATCCTCTTAGAAAAAAGTGAGTTTAAAGAAGTACTTGTAGTATATTTACTTAGTTATATGAAAAGGACAGAGATACTTTAAAAAAAATATAACACTAGTAAATTTTGCTGAATATCTAGAAAACATTTTCTAATTTTCTTCTATAAAAACAAGCCATGCAAACATTTTGCAAACATAGTCTTCTATGTGGCTCCTAATGAGTTCCACCAAATAGATTTCTCTAGGCCTGGACATTTATGTAATTCCATCTAACCCTCCTCCCTAACAGCCAGCAGCCTTGAACCCAACCTTGGGAACCAAGACTTTAAGTTGTTAGGGCTGCAACAGGGTATTTAAAATATATATATATATATATATATATTTGTCAGATTAAAAGAGACAGTTTGAACATATTTATATCAAAATTCCTAAAGCTAAAAGTGAAGTTTCTGCTTACTGGTTGTTTTGCCTAGGTAAATGAATACAATGGTCTGTGGTAAGCACATAGGCAGAAAGGTAGGTTAGATTTTCTAAAACTCTAATTCTTTAAAAAAAAAAACTCTGATTGTTTCTTACATTGGGTATGAGAAGAATAAGTGTATCCGAAGAGACTTTCTCACCACTCTTTTATGCCAGAACCCCTCATTATAATCACAAGAAATTACTTGTGTTTCAGCTTGTATTTCTCCTGCTCTGAAAAGTTTGAAGTGTCCCTTTTCTATAATTAATTTATCATTAAAAAAAAATTATTGCCCTCAAGTCGATTCTGACTCATAGCAACCCTATAGGACAGAGTAGAACTACCCTATAATGTTCTCAAAGCTGTAACCTTTTCAGAAGCAGACTGCCACATCTTTCTTCTGCACAGTGCTTAGTGAGTTTAAACCACCAACTCTCTAATTAGCAGCTGGCCACTCAACCACTGCACCACCAGGGTTCCAAATTATGATATAGTACCTAATTAATGGAAAAGCTTGGTCTCCTGAGATCTAATGTTTATCAATTACTGAAAGTTATAAATAATTCTTCCTCAACTTTTCTACTTTGTCTTCTTAATGGAGAGCATATTGCTTCTGGGAATCAGTTTATCACCAATTCTAAAACACATATTGTTAGAACTATAGCCACCACTTGCTGGTGAATTTATAAACATATACTCACCACACATTAGGTTATAGACTTCAATATTGTCAAATGGTTCAACTTCCAATTTCTCTTTAAAACTGGGTCCATGTGCCAGAAAGATAGCCTAGGTGGTAATAGACATACATTACAGACACAAATCAAACACAAAAACACATGTTGGAAGAGATATAATTTTCCTTCCATAATAGTTGTATTGTATTTTAGGCTTCTGTAAGGATTTCTTCTCAGGATTCGAAAATGATTTTTAAAGCATCTCTTCTCTAATGTTGTACTGATCCCAACCAAATATAGCCCATGTTGTTGTTGTTGTTGTTGTTATGTGCCGTCGAGTCGGCCCCGACTCACAGCGACCCCTCCTTGGGTTCCCGAGGCAGTATCACTACGGAAGTAGGATTGCCCAACCTTCCTTCCAAGGAGTGGCTGGTGGGTTTGAACCGCCAGCCGTCTGGTTAGCAGGCAAGTGTCTTAGCCACTATGCTACCAGGGCTCCCCTAATATAGCCCATATCATATCGTATTTGCTTCTCCAATCTCTACCTGCTAAGACAACACTTCGTATGTCAATAGACTAGGAGAATATAAGCAACAGTGGACAACCAAAAGCAGCATAATTTCACAATGTTTGGACAATATATATATATATATATAATAAATTTAACATATGACATCAAATATTCTCTTCAACATATAGGCAGCCAATGAACACATGAGGAAATGTTCATGATTATTAGCCACTAGAGAGATACAAATCAAAACAATGATGAAATATCATCTCACCCCAACAATGATAGCAAAGTTCAACAAGACAGAAAATGACAATTGCTGGCAAGGTTGAGGAGAGATTGGAACTCTCATACACTGCTGATAGGACTACAAAATGGTACAACCATTGTGGAAAATGTTATAGTGTTTCTTTACAAAACTAAAAACAGAAATACCATTTGATCCAGCAATTACATTACTAGGAATATACCCTAAAGAGGTGAGAGACAGGACACGAATAGACATTTGCACACTTATGTTCACTGCAGCACAATTCACTATAGCAAAGGGATTGAAACAACCTAAATGCCCATCAACAGATGAGTGGATAACCAAACAATGGTACATTCACATAATGAAATACTATGCAACATTAAAGAATAATGAAGAATACACAAACCATCTCACAATGTGGATGAATTTGGAGGATATTATGCTGAGTGAAATAAGTCAATCACAGAAAATTAAATATTTTATGAGTCTGTTATTGTAAAAACTCAAGGAAAAGTTTATGCAGGGAAGAAAACTCACTTTGTTGGTTACCAGGGATGGGAGGGAAAATTTCAGACTTGTTGGGGGTCATATGTTGATTTGGGTGAAGGGAAGGGTGGTATGGAAAGAATATGTGACCAGCATGGTTATATTGGGAAAAAGGAAAGATACAGAAACATGCAAAAAAGATAAAGCAACAGAGCCAAATACTATTATATACACAATACTGCATTACCACTGGCACCAAATACCAGGCTATGTATAAATGCATAGACATATGAGAAGATCAGTTGGGGGTTGGTGAAAAGCAATATACCCTAGACTAAGCATAGATTTGGCTGAAGATAATCTTACATATGCACTTGTGCTACAAAATTAGCACATACAATACAGAAACAACAGAAGACAGGGTTGGAGTAGCTTCTCAAAGACCAAAAACCATCTTGAGAGAGAGAATCACCAGGTCTGTGGGCTTGGGACCATAGTCTCGGGGTACATCATGTTTAATTGGCACAATATAGTACATAAAAATCTTGTTCTACATCCGGCTTTGGTGAGCAAGGACTGAAGTCTTAAAAGCTTTTGAATGGCCATCTAAAATGCAACTATTGGTATCCCTTGTCTGGAGCAAAGAAGAGTGAAGAAAATAAAAGTCATCTGGAAAGAATTAGTCCAAAGATAAGATGGACCACGAGGACCTCGGTCTTCATGACCCAATACCAGAAGAACTAGATGGTGCCTGGCTACCAATGCCAACTACTCAGAATGGGATCAAATTGGAGATCCTGCATAGAGTGGGAGGAAAAATGTGGAACAAAATTCAAAAACACAAAAATGACCAGAATTACTGGTCAAATAGAGATGGGTGGAACCCCCAAGACTATTGCCCCAGGTTACCTTTTGAGCCTAGAAATTGACTCACTTCCGTGGATTGGCTCTCAGCCCAACAGCAGAAAGATCTACATGCAGAACACCTACCCCAAGGCAACACACCCACCTACTCTAGGGAGATGCACCAGCCATGAGACATGAGAGGGGCAGCATTCACATAAAGGGAAAGCTGAACATACAGGAATGCATAGATAAGAAAGGCACAGGGAGGGGGTAGTCACAGGGAGGAGAGGAGGAGGTGTTTTTTATAGTTGGGAATGGTAATTGGGGTCATGAAATCAAATGTGCATGAACTATTGAAAGTAAAACAAATCTTCTTTAGGGGACATCAAGCTCAATTGCCATAACATACTACACAAAAACATTGTTCCACATCCTACTTTGGCCAGTAGCGACTGGGTTCTTTTTTTTTTTTTTTTTTTTGTGATTTGGGTGAAGATTTACAGAGCAAATTCACTTTCCATACAGCAGTTCACATATACTTTGTCTT